GGCTCGTAGTACGGCCTCCTCTCTGGGCATACACCACCTGTTTGCTTTCAAATATATCATATCCCTCCATCTTCAAATATAAGCACCTGTTAGATGATGACACATTGAAGATGGTGGCAGAGACTTGGCCTTGTCTGCAAAGCCTTGCTGTAAGGGACCACAATCGACACTCATCGACAGTCTCTTTAAGTGGCTTCCTCTCCCTTGTCACCCAATGTCCAGCTCTTGCCAATTTATCTTTCAGACTTGATGCCACATCTATTCCTCCACTTCCAGAAAACTTACTACACAATCAAAAGCATTGAATACCCTGGATAGCCTATGTATATCTGTTGCAAAAATCCATTTTTCATGATTTGGCTGAATGCAGCCTGATAATGCTGTAAAATATTTGGATAACATATTAGATACAAAATGCTGTGGACAGGTTTGATCAGATACCTGTAAGGATAATATGTGTGATGAGTGTGAATACGCTAGCCACATTGATTGCGCTGACACGGCTGATTGTGCTGAAGTGCCGGAGTATGCTGATCAAGCTCACCAGGGTGACCTGTTAATTCAGCCTGAGTGCTGTGATAAAGGATATCCGTTGATTCAAGCAGAGGACGCGAACAATGCTGGCCTGGTATTAGTAAGGCTTAACAGTCCTATTGTGTCTGGTTTGGCCTAATACGGAGTTTTTAATACATGCTTTTGTTTGCTTTTTGCTGGTTTTCAATCTTAAAGTTTAATAGTAAAAAGAGACAACAGCCATAGTATTTCATTGTAAATAGTGTCTACTAGTTGTTAAAGTGATATCCCCAAGGCAGATTTGTATATTACAAAGCCATTAGTATCAGTAAATACTGTTGTCATGCACCAAAGTTAATTGGTAGCATGGACAGGTGTCAATAACGAAGCAAATATTCAAAAAGACTTGCCTTTGCGCCACACAGGCACAGTGCCACGTGGAATAGTAATTAACATTGCCTTTTTCAAAGTTGTGGCTGATCAGCACCACCCCTACTAGGCAATCCAGTTGCGCTCACCTTTGCTTTTCCATTCCGTACTTTCTGCGTTTTGGCATTTTGGCAAATTTTTGCATCGCCACTGGCTACACATTGTGCCCTCACTTTTGTCGTTCTCCCTTGCTTTTTACTTTACTCAGCCCCACCATGGGACCCTTCCTCTCCTTTTATTCTCACCCAACGGTTGTTTCTGGATCCCATTTCTAATCCACCTCTTTGTCACCTCCACCTGTTACAATAACACAATTTCCGGACATCTCCTTTCTTTTCATTCTCCGCTTTAACTTTATACTTTAGCTTTCGCACATGGTATCACGCGGCATTTCCCCTTTCTCGCACCGCGTTGCCTTTCTCTTATTTTAGATTCAACTCTCTCACGCAGTGGAGCTGGCCATACGGGCTAGGCCCTATGACATCATCAGCCACTGCCCCCATCAACTGTATAGTACATATGTACAAACAAACCTGTAGTAGTATATATACCCCAATAGATCCAGGAGACTCCTCAGCGAGTCCTCTTGTTGTATACCAACTAACTCACTGCAGCCTAAGGGGTACCCACTCCCCATCTTCCATTATT